TCTTATTCTTTAATTTCATTCAATGTTTATTTCTTTCATTTTCCTGGAATGGCCACGGAGCACCTGGGAAGTGCTCACGGAGCCCTAAGGGCTCCTCAGAGCACAGGTTGGGAACCCCTGATCTAGAGGCTTGCCTGCTAGAGTCAGAGAAATTATGAAATAGAGTGAGGACAATCAGAAGCAGGATGAAGATCTGAATAAGGGTTAAGAGTGAGCAAAGAGTTTAGGGATTTTGTGTTCAACTTATTTGTTATATAATAATTTACTATTTTATTTTCTACAACTTGTTTTTAAATGTTTGCATTTATGAATTGGAAGAGAATGCTTTACCACAGTGAACTGAAAATGAAATGAAACCACAATGAAATGGAAATGTTGTAAATTGTTTATCCAGTCATGTGAAGACAAAATAGTAGGATATTTAATACCTCTACCTAGAGTAATGATGCAGGATGAACAGAGAACACTTAAGAGCACCTTCACAATCTCCAACCAGATAAACAGTAAACTAGTGGTAGTGAGACTTGATCAACATAGGCATTTGCCCAGTATAGTGGTTGCCTTGGAGCCTGAGTACTAGATCCAAAGAGGGATCTTAAGGGTAAAAGGGCAAGGTGAGTGACTGGAGCTCAAGGGCTGGAACTGCATCACACAGGGTTTTCCATATCCACCCACACTGTTTTTAGAAACACACGCCTTGCTGAGTTGCTGGGTTGTTTTTCACAAAACCCAGAAATTTGCACAAAACCTCCCATGTGTGTTACTGGAAACAATTTTTTGCACAAAAATGTGTGCTTTTATACAACAAACCAAGATTTTTGTGCAAAGATGTATTCCTGTGCAGTAAATTTCATGAAGCACTTTGACATGTGTGAATTCTTGCTTTAAAAGGTGCAGAAATACTCATTTTCTGGGGAAATGATGGAAACCATTCCTCCTTGCATGTGAGGTCAGACTCCTACCTACAGTAACAATGTGGCATGAACACAGAACATTTAGTACAGGGGTAGGCAACCTGTCTCTTTTAAGGGCCGAGGGACTTCAGCTCCCAGAATCCCAGGAGCTATTGGCCAACATGGCTGAGGCTTCTGGGAGCTGAAGTCCCTTGGCCCTTAAAGGGGACAGGTTGCCTACCCCTGATTTAATACTTTAGTAGGGCCTTCCCAAGCACCAGACAAAAAGCAGTGAACTATTAGTGTTGAGACATGAAGAAAAGGGTTTGTCAGTGTTCATGCCTCCCAGTCAAAAACAAGTGCTGTTTCACCAAAATAGCTGAATAATAAATGTAAGCTGAAGAAAAAATAAAACAACAACAACAACAACAAAAAACGTTTCCCTTATCTCACAGATGCAGCTCCAGAACAATTCAATTTAAGCCTAAGGGAAATGAGAAAAAATGCTTTCTCCTAAGCCTTTTCTTATACACTTCCAGGCACTTCCAGAACAGAAGAATGAAATCTCTTACCTTCCTAAAGTAAAAGACAACCTAATATTTGTGGGACTATGGAGGCATGCTTGTGCACACATACACACATGCACATAGCTCTCATATTTTTTCAAGTGTTTCTCTGATTTCCTAATCCCAAGCAGACCCTACCCTAAGTAATGTTATGACCTCTGGACGTCTTCCAATTTTCTGGTGTGTATGTTCCTGTCCATGGCCCTGAATGGACTCTGCAGCCATGAGCCTAAAAGTGACCAGTCACACACTCAAGGTACCAAAACAACAAATCAAACAGATAGTTTGGGAGCTGCCAGAAAAGGAATTCACATTTCTAAGACAGGAAGGCTAGGTGATTTACAGCAGGATGTTACACCCTGGTTTGGAAAATGACATGGATGTGGCCTCTAATAGAACTGGAACAAGGTTACTACAGTTCAAGTGGCAGGTGCATGAGTCAGCATTTGGTAAGCTGTGCATCATGGGAGGTCTGATACAACAGGCCCTGGGGATGAAACCAGCCAGGTTTCATTAATGCATGGCTGTCACATGTTCCCAAGAAGACCACCTATATAAGGGAGAGAGTCAGAATCTTCGTTGTTGGTCAGTTGTAGTTAGTGGTTAGCAAAGCTCTTTGTCGATCTGTATAGCTGTGAGTATTCGAGATGGATGTCTGATACTCTTTGTATCTTTGTAGATATTTGCATCAAAGATTAAAGCTCTCATTCATTTCTCCAAAGTGAAAGCAGCAGCCTGCATGTGGGAGACTTTTCCTGTGCCGTCTGGAGCAAGACTCTTCACAGAGACCATCTTCTAGGTGTTCCTGCCTACGCGCATCAACTCTCCATGTGTCTATGCTAGATCCCGCTTGTCTGCATACCCCAACAGTTTTGCACCCCAAGCTGGAAAGCACCCATTTACAATCCCATTCCCACCTTTGATACCTCTATCTCGAGTGATCATTACCCATGCTGATTTGGCCTTTTATGTAGCTTTGCCTCAGGCTATTTTTGCCCTATATAAAGATCTAAATGTCTTTTATTTCCTCAGGCTGGCTAGAATTCATGGCAACTCCATGCCACTTTGAATTCTGACTGGTTCCATCTCATTGCTGTTCCTCTCAGTGCATTCTGATATGGCTAAGTCCAACACCATCCAGTCGGATATTTGGAGTCATCACGTCGATAATAAGTATCAACATTAGTGGAGCCTCTTGTTCTAGTCCAATGCTCATACTCTTTTATTCCTTAGCTCTTGTGTGTATATGTGTGTGGTTGTCTTTGATGTGTGTTTCCCCTGAATAAACTACAATTAATAGAAAGAATTCAGCCTCTGTGAATTCCCTATTCTAGTACCTTGGTATACAGATAGGAAACGATTTATAGGGACTACTTGTAACTCGGTCCATTAAGTGAGCTAATTAAAAAATTCCCCTAGTTCAGAGTTACAGTAATGAGGAAAGAGCAGGAAGCAGGGTAGTACAACTTCAATGACATCATGCAAAAACCTTTTCTGCAAATATTGCAGCTATAATATGCAGAAGACGGTAGTGAGATTCTTAGGATCTAATTACCTTAAATCAGGAGCTTACCGGGATCTACCTCTTCCACCGTTAGTTCTTGTCACTGCTCCGACTTGTCTTTGGTCTCTCCAGTTATTTTATTTTATCTTGTGTTGTTTTATGTATTATTTTTAATGAATGTCTGGTTTAATACTTTTTTAAGGGCAGTTGGGATGTTTATTCTGGGTTTTTGTATGGAATTTTAATTGTTGTAAGCCACCCCGGTTGTTCGACAGAGGGGCGGGATAGAAATAAATGTTATTATTATTTTATTACTAAAGGCACCAGATCCCATCTGATCTTGGAAGCTGAGCAGGGTGATCTCTGGTTACTACTTGGATGGGAGAATGCCAATGAATACTGCATGCTGCAGGATTTATTTCAGAGGAAAGAACTAGCAAAACCAACTCTGAGTATTACTTGCCTAAGAAACCTATGAAATTCATGAGGTCACCATAAGTCAACAAGCAACTTGAAGACACATACACACAGTGAGATTCTTGCCATAGATTGGAAGCTACAGCTGTCACTATAACCCCATCTTATCATATCATGTTATATTGGAGGTATGAAAAAAAGCACTGGCCAAGGCTTTTTCCTCCCACACTGAAATATTTATTATTCTTCATTACTCTGAAAAATAACAACAACAAAACATAAGAGCACTTGAAGGTGGCATGATTGATTTTGGAACCTATTTCACCATGCATCGCCCAATCTGGATCCATTCCAGACTGGACCAACTTGGGTTAATTCAATTCACTCTGGAATCTGGACTTTGCTTGAATTGTTTAACTAAACCTATTAGCCATTGGATTTAAGCATCTTCAGAGAGGTCCTGAGGAAATTCCTTTCTAGAAACTTCCTGGGTAGATGATTGTGGGGTCACAACACCAAATAACAGGAACTGATGGAAGCTGAAAGTCTCCTTCTAGAGAAGCTTTAGGAGTGAACTCTGAGAACAGAACTGGACAAGTAATTAACTGCAGGAGTCAGG